CCCCAAGAGATGTTCTTGGAAGTCCCTGCCTCCCCAAGCTCCTCCAGGTAGCATGTCCTTCCTCCCTGAGGGGATGCTGGCAGCAAAGGCCCCCAGGGGTAGCCTAACCGGTCCCCTTGAAGCCACCAAGAACCAAGGAGTAACATGTACTGCCTCCCCTGTCGGAGCTTTCTGTATTTTACTGGAGAGATGTCTTCCACCATTATGGTGGAAACCACCCTCCTGGGCTGTTCCCCATCACCTTGGGCTGCCCTTGTCTCTGGTATATGGTCAGATTGTCAGGTGGGGAACTGTGTGGGATCAGGCTGTGTAGGAACATCTCTCACACACGTTTGTAACCCTTCTCCCATCACCTCCACCTCCCCTGCCCTGCGGCACTGTGTGCTTCAGGTCCTCTCTTCCCCTGTCTACCTCGCCTCCGGCCCCAGGGTGCAGGGAGCACGGCTCATGTGCCAATGCCCCGCTGTGGCTGGAGTGACACTAAGCTTGCAACAAACCCTCGTTTTATAGGAGCTGTACTCTTTATTGCTTGTAAATTATTAATGGAGCCTTTTATTGGCAAACTGCAATATAAAAGAGAATTAAATACCATTCATAATGGGAATGGGCGTCAGGCCATGGGCTTGTGTGTTACTGGGAAGGTTCAGATGATGCATGACAGGGTATTTTTCTCCTCTAGCTGAGGCCCAGCTGCCCAGCGCTCTGGGGGAAGGAGGGATCACTGCTTTTGCTGTTGTAGGACAGCAAGAGGGGTGGGGTAAGGACAGGTTGAGCATGCCACGGACCAAGCCCCCTCCCAGTTTCTGCTTGCCCCCTGTTTATTGAGTCCCCTCTCCCTAGTGCTAATGTTGGCCAGGTCACCCTGGGAAAGTGAGGGAAAAGCTCACTTGATGTGTCTGGCTGAGATCCCTAGAGCTTCGCATCCCTCCCTGCCCTGGTTATCCTGAAGTGACAAGCCAGCTCCCTTGTCCTCCTGGGGGACAAAAGTATGACTGAGCCCAGCTACACTGCCAGGAGAGTGGTGATCCTCTTGCCTCTCCAATGGGGTCTGTTCTCACCCTGATATGGGGCCAAGTGTGGGTTCAGACTCTGGCAGAGAGAAGATGTAGGGTTTGGGTAGTATCAGCCATGCTCACCCAGCCTAGCACAGTCCTGGCTCCTAACCAATCGCCGTTATCAGCCCTGCTATGGGAAAGAGGTGCCAGGATACCCACACCATGGAGAGGTGGTGGTTGTTGTGGTAGAGTGTCTTTCCTGGGGCATGGAAGAGGAAAATGAGGTCTATGTCTCTGGGAGGTTCCTTGGGGCACAAGGCTCCTGGGGTCAATGGGAGAAGATAGGCAACCAGCCCCAGAGAGTCAAGTCTTCCTTGCCCCTGCGATTAGGGCACTACCAGTGCCATGCCCTTTTGAAGCTCTGAGCAAAGATTAACTTGCTGATCTTCACGGGTCCCCTGCGAGGTGTTATTTCAGGCTGTAAACCAGTTGCCTGTGCCTTTTATGAGGACGAGAGTGAGGCGGGGGGAGGAAAGAAAATTAAAAGATTTTAACCTGCAGTCACTCAAATGTAGAGCAAAGTCCCAGATCTGCCCTGGAGCAATACAGCTCTGCTCCCAGGGAAGGGGGAACTGGTGTAACACATGGCTCCAGATGAAAACTCCCAAATGACATCCACTCCAGAGGATGCAGCCTGAGCATCCCAGCACAGCCAGCCCCCTGGGAAGGTGCTTGCCCTGCAGGCAAACAAAGCAGGACTCTTGTTGAGCTGATGAGAAGACAAGTCCCAAAGCAAGATCTCCTCCACCCCGGTATGGATTTGGAGATTACAGCCCGCATCTTTGCAGGGAAAAAAAAGTAGCGCTTGAGGGAAAACGCTCTGCAAGAGGCACTCTGATACAGGGCTTGACAACTGCTCCTGCCCCTGCTGGTGCTGGGAACCATCCTCAGCTTTATGGCCTTGGCTGAGGGTGGTAAAGAGCAAGACACACCACCCCCCCCCTCAATTTTGGGTAGTCAGGCTGTGCTCCCAGCTTGGTGTTTCCTAGCCCCCTCCAAAGTAAACAGATGTCCCCCAGCACCTCACTAGGGCATCAGTGTTTGTCAGCAGGAGGGGAAGGGAGGCAGAGGAAGGTCGCTGGGAGGCAGGTTGGCAGGACCCAGCTCTCCAAGCAGCAGGCGGCACTGCCTTGCCTGCTCCCAGGCTTCTTCCAGGTCCTCTATCCCTCTTGTCTCCCCTAAGACTTTCAAAATCCAGCTTCAACTTGTTCCGGACACGGGTGAGAAGCAGGGCAGAGGGCTCCAAGGCAAACATAAATGACCCCCCCGGCTGTCCTGTGCACCCCATCCCACCTTCTTTGTACCTCTAGGGGGGGTGGCTGCCTGCTCAGAGGAATGAGTCATGGGTTAGGTAACAGGCAGAATGCAATTAGCAGCCCAGGGCACCAATTACCAGCTGTAACAGCCTTGTGCAAGCCCCTGTAACGAGTCACCCAGAGCAAGATTTCTCCCTCCAGAGAGGCAACAGGCAAAGTGGCTTGTGTGCTGCCCTGGGAAGCCACCAGCCTTTTCCACGCTCCCGAGCTGGAGCAGTATGGGGTCTCTGTCCCGTGCACACATCCCCCCAATGATAGGTCAGCCAGCCCCACCCTGGGGCAGGATTGGGTACCAAATGGCCCCCCTATCCCTGGCACCCCAGAAGAAAGAAGTCTCTCGCAGTGCAAGAAGCTGGCTGTGCTCTCCTCTACCATCGGACATGTTCTGGTTTGTACATGGTGGGTCTGCCCTGGTCTGCTGCCTGGCAACATGCTCTGCACAAGGTAGCTTTGAGTCATATTTCTATGTCTTTTGGGGACATCGCTAAGCACCCTCTGCCTGTCTCACCCTTTGCCTCCCAGATGATCTCCTAGGCTGGGGCCGGGAGTTGCTGCAGGATGCCTGGGAGCCATGAAAGCTTCATTTACAGCTGCCTGGGGCTGCTGGCATGCGGCTGAAGAGCTCGGAGAGGTTAATTTCTGGTTCAGAAGCAGTGGCTAGCCATGGGAGCAATCCCAGTATTTAGCGCAGAGGCAGTGGATCAGTCATAACAGCTTCCCATCCCTGCAGTAATGTAAGGCCTGAAGGTGAATGACTCCACCCCCCCGTCCCAAATCAGCTGAAGGAAGCATCACTATTCAAAAGGGTCTAAAAATAAAACCTGCAGGGACCCTCCAAGGGGGTGTGGGAGATGCTCTGGAGATGTTCTTGCTTCAGGGGAAAGCTAGCAGTCTTGGAAACTTGGAGAAATACATGGGAGCAGGAAGGAGAAGTAGATTCAGTTGTTTCTTCCTTACAAAAGGAAAAAAGATGTACCCAGGGACAGGACTGGGGTAAAATTCTGTGTGTGAATCCTGGGGGAGCTGAACAGATAGATTTGCAGGGAGGTCTTCTCTGTGTGCCTGGAAAGTGTCTGTGTCTGGGCACATGGTGGGAGTGTGGAACAGAAGGACCCTGGTCCCTGCGTTGACCCTCTTTTTTTAAGCTCCTGTGCGAACGGGGTGGGGGGGCTTTGCTACATGGAGCCATGTCCCCACCACGTTTCCCCTGAGTCCCCATCTTATTACTTTTTATTTTTATTTTTTTGGTATGCTGAGATTGGATGCCCACAGCTTGCAGCTCCCTGAGGAGGCGCTCTGATTTTGGCAGCTTATGTAGAACACTCCCATCCTGCTGTCCCCACGCGCGCTGCCACAGGGAAGCTGGGGTGGGGGGGCGAGTATCGTCCCCTTCCTGGGCTGTTAGCTTCTCTGTACCCCCCAGCTGCTCTGTAAAGTGGCCTAGAGGTAGTGGGAAGGGGACCTTCATGGTCATCCGCTCCATATCCAACTGAGCCAGCAACATCATGCAGCAATCTGTGGTGCTGACCCCAGAATTTCCCGTCTTTGTCTTGGGAGGGGCTCTCACACCTTTTGAGGGTCTCTGATATCCCTATCCATGGGGAAGGCCTTCTCCATGCAAGACTTGCTCAGCTACACTCAGCATGCTGTGTATCATGGCCACAGACTGCTCTCCTGGCCTTGTTGGAAGCCAGAAGGCTGGGGTGAAGGTAGCACAGGGGAGATGTACAGCTGTACCCAACGGTGGCGGGGAGAGGTGGTGATGGTGGTGGGAAGGAGTTAGAGGTGCGAGTTTCCTCCTCTGCCTGTGGTGTTGTCTTTGACAGCAGAAGAGCCACAAGGAACAAGTTGCTGAGGTCAGCTCTGCTACAGGGGGCAAGTATCTTGGTGGGATATAAACCCAGTGCTGAGCCGTGGGCATTGAAAGGGAGGCAGCAGGTCCTCCCTTGCGCTCTCTGGTTCTGGTGTACCTGTTCTGTGAGTGTCACTGGCTCTGCAGCCACCCGGGCAGCAGGCTGTCCTTGGGCATCCCTGGTGGGGGTGTGAGACAGGGAGGGGTCATGGCTGGATGGGAAAGGGACCTTCAAGAGTGGGTTTGAGGAGATGGGTGTCAGAAATGGGGGTCAGACCTTCATTTGAGACTCTGGAGCATGTGGTGGGGTGGGCAGCAGGGGACTCATGGTCCTGCTTTGGGGAGGCAGGGTGGGGTTAAAGGGCAGGGGCAGCAATTCGGAGCAGTGCCCTTAGGAATAAAGTCTAGTGCTGGGGGAAATCCTGGGAAAACATCGTTCTTCCCAAGAACAGTGTAGGACCCCACACCTTAACTTCACCCGAGCCCCCATGGGTGCCACCTTCCCCTCCTCCTGCAGGAGCTGCAGAGATGGGGCTGGGCTATCACAGAGGAGCAGGGCGAAACAGTCCAGCAACAGGTTTGTCTTCCCAGATCACCTCGGAGATATCCCAGCCTGGCTATCCCCTGCTGAGGCAAACCCACGGTCGGACCCAGGGCTCTCCCCTCTCCATCCTCCACCCCCCCCCCATCCTCTTCCTCCCCCGGGGCTGGCGCTCCGCCCCGTTGCCCGGAGGCGGGACCGGGGCCCGGGACGGCGGCCGGGGCTGGCAGGGACCGAGAGCCCGGCTGCACGGAGGGAGCAGGTGGGGAGGCAGCCCCGCTGCTCCCATGGCACCCAGCCCCTTCCCCGCACCCCTGCACCCACCGCTCGCCTCCACCCCACAGCCCCTGGCTTGGGCGCAAGGGCTGGTGTCTTCTGGGCTACTGATGCTTTTGGTCTACACTCCCCACCGATGGCTCTGATGTCCTTTGCTGCCCCTTCGACCCCCAGCCTGGGACCCTCAGCCTCTCCGCCGGCGGTGGGGATGCTTGCTGTCCTCCTGGCAGGCTGTGCCAGCCACCTGCCAGTCTCCTCGGAGTGTTTTCCCATCACGTGTCGCTGCCTCGCTGGGCCATCAGACCCTCTTAGTCTGTGAAAATTCCCCCCGCTTCACCAGTGTCCTCCGGGGCTGCTGTCTCTTTGGCTTTCTGCTCTTCACCCACCCTATTCCTTGGCCACATCCTATTCAGACCTTGCTCTCGGCTGGTCCTGCCCCTTCGGAGGCTTCGAGAAGAGCGGACAACTTCACGTGGAGGTACGGGCAGAGATCGTCCTCATTCAATAGGACACTGGCTGCGGCAGGAACAATTGGGGAGCCATGGGCTGTCGGCTCATCCGCGGTCTCTCCGGAGCCGCAGTCTTCCTTGTCAGCGTGGCTCTCCTCTCCGTGCGGCACCGTGGGGCTCAGGAAACAGCTCAGTACCCAGGACTCAGGGAAGGAATGTTGGGGAAGCTGGAGCGACGGAGCAAAGCCAGCCCAGAGGATGGAGGTGGTGGCGGGGGACAGAAGGACCTGCAAGTCCATCCTCCGGAGGGATACAGGACTGAGGGAAGCCTGACCCTTGGGGATATTTTCATAGCTGTGAAGACAACCAAGAGATTTCACCAGAGCAGGATGGAGCTGCTCCTGGACACGTGGATATCCCGGGCCAGAGAGCAGGTGAGTGTGTGGATTCGGACAAGAGAAGGGGTGTTTGGTAACGGGGCAGGGACGGGGTGTCTGTGCGGGTGAATAAGGGCCAAAGGAAGGGGAAGCTGGGCACTGCAGTCCCACCCAGTATTTTGCCTCATTTTCCCTAATTCTCACTTCTGTTTATGTTGAAAGGGGGATGCTGCCCAGCAAAATGTTTCACTGGTAGCTGCTCCATGGGAAAGGCTGGCAGAGAGGATGGAGAGCTTGTGTGGGCTCTTCCCAAGAAGGCTGGCAGGACAAGTGCTCTTAGCAGGCATCACCTACCCCTAAACTAAGCCAGACTCTTTCAGCTTGAGGTGGAAGGGATTTAATTTCCTTTTTTTTAACCAATAACACTGGGGTGTGTGCAGACTGCCTGAGCCACAGCAGACCAAGAGCGCAGCCTGTCCTGGGTCTGTATGAAATGGTGGTTTTCTACCTCCTAGTGCAATGAGTTTGCCAGGTTTTGAGTTAGGTGGCTTCTCCTGGCCCTCCACCAGGATACCTGCATCGCACCTGGGCACTCTTCACCCCCGGGATGGTGTGGTGCAGAGGGCAAAAGAGCAAGGCAGGAGGATCTGGAGGACCTCCTGGAGTGCAGGAGGGGTGTTTGCAGCCCTGATCACTCCCCAGCACATTTGGACAACCCATGCCTTGCTTTCTTGGGCAGATCTCTTCATGTGCATGATCTTGAAGTGACGTGGGTGTGTATTGAATTTTTTAAAGTTTTTTTTTTTTGTTTTTTTGACTGGGGGGCCTAATGTTTCCACCCTTTGCTAAAGCAGAGTTTGGAGAGTTTCCTTCCTGTTAGAGGAGCTGATGTGGGGCACCACGTTGGTGGTGCTGTGCAAACTGACTTACTGGTGGGCAGAAGTACTCCCCAGAGCCTGAGTACTGCTCTCCCTCCCTCCCTCGCAGAGCTGCTCCTCAAGAAAGAAGAAATCCTGTGGCTGCCCCCAAAGGGGTGGATTTTTTTGCCTCTGCCTGTGTGTGATGGGCGCTTAAAAGACAAATTCAGGTTTCAGTGAGGGAGGGGGACGGGGGTGGAGGTATCGGGTAGGAAAGCGCTTGATGCAGGGTTTTCTGGGTAAGGGTGGTTTTCCACTTCATGGTGCTGCAATTGTCTGGTCTGCTGCGGTTGTCACAGGAAGCCATGTCCTATTTTGAGCACGCTTCCTCTCCTGTCTATGTGTCCCTCAGCATCTGAGGTGCCCTGCTTCCTCCCCCAGATGCACTTCTCCTCTCTGTCCGACCTCAGCCCAGCAGCTCTTTGGAGAAACCAAACTCAACCTCATGGCTGCACTGGCATTAAGATAGGGTGGCTGGGGCTTTTGGAGTGGGATTTTAAGGAGCAGATCATCTTTCCCTCCTCATGCGTTTGACAAACAGGTGCCTGGCCGTTCCACTGTTGACATGAATTAGATACCAGCCCCCCAGATTCATCTGACCCTCTCTGTTGGGCAGGCAAACTATTTCCAAACGTGGGAAGAGGTGTTGAATTTTCCATGCTGCTGCCAGCCTCTCGGAAAGCTCCACAGGCTCAGCAGGAGAATAGGAAGGAAGGGTAGAGTGGGAGCATCAGTCATTTTTAAACAGAGTATTTTCATTGTTATCAATTTTTGTGGCAAGCTCAGCATTTTCCTCTCCCCCCCTCAATTTTCCATGTTTTTCTTCTGCTTTTTTTACTAAACGTCCTTTTACTTGAGGGCAGGGGAACGGGGGCGGGGAGGGAGGTAAAGAGAAGTACGTGAAAGTCAAAAGCCTTTTTTTTTAAAAAAAAAATCACTGCTCCTAGAGGGTTATTTTGGAGGTAGGGGAAAGGGTTAGTTATGAAAAATTGACAATATAGAAACCTTGCCTAGCAAAAAAAAAATTTAAAAAGAGCTCTTAGTGTAGCAAAAGACATTTAATTGTTGTGGAGCCAGGGGTAGGGCACCAGACCTTCTGTTATTGAGTCTTTATGGAGAGTCATAGGCTTTAAGGGCCAGTCTTGGAAAGATCCAGGTCTCAGAAGCCCTAATACGCAGAGGCTGCCTTCTCCTAGGGCTGGTCCACTGTCTTGCTGTCTTACCCACCCATACTCACGGCTGGAGACTGATTCAGTGGGTCCTTCTCTGCTGGTGGCAAGTGGGGAAATTTTAGCAGCTGGCCGTCTGCTGATGCCAAGCCTGGTTTCAGAGCTGATTACCTGCATGGTGTCCTCCCGGAGGAAGTAACCCAGACCTCGCAGGTCAGGCTTAGGTGACTGGAACAGGAGGCAGGAACAGCTGTGGTTTTTATGGCTAGAACAGACTGTACGGGAGCCAAATTAAAAGTACTCTATGTTGGACTCTGTCGGGGCAGACAATAAGAGAGAGAGACATTTTCCCTGAAACTGCACTGTTTGAACAGAAGAGAAGATAAGCAGCTGGTGGGAGATGGGGAAGGGGAAGTACGAGGTGGGCACTCTTTGCTGGACCATGCTCTGCCTCTTGAGAACTGATCCACATGACAGACTTTCCCTGGAGCTTGGTGTGGAAGTCATTTCAGCGAAAGGTCTTTTCCTCAGAAAAGTTTTCGTCTAAACAGGAGTGTTGGTTTTCATGATTGTTTACTTGATTGATACTGGACAGTATCTTGGAGTGGCTTACATTCTTGGCCGCAGTAGTTTTGATGGAGATAAGTCTAGGTTTCTGATCTGAAATGGCATTTTGTGTGATAATGGGAACTGATTCTAGCATCACTCCTCCTTTCAGAAACCCAGACATTCAACTGATTGAAATTAAACCTTTGAACGACCTATCCTGAACTGGCTTTCACATTTTGGGTGTTGTGAACACACCATAGATTTTGAATCTGTTCTCCAGGCGGGACACAGCAATAACCCTGCTGAGGTTTTTGCATTTTGGAGAGAGTTTCTTCCCAGAGAAGGGATACTCTGGGAGCTGGGAAATGAACGTGGCCCTGGATTGTCAGATTCCACATTGTTGTTCCCTTTTCCTAGTTTTTCCTTGCTAGGCTACTTTCCCAATTTTAGGTGAGGACATCTCAAAGTCTGGTGTTTATCCTTTGCACGGGCTCTTATGTTCATGGAGAGTTGCCAGGCAAAGCCGTTTGAAACCGGTGGCTCCATATCACTGCTGGCCAGCAGACATCCTTCTTTATCCAGCCATCTTCTCTGCTGTAGATTGGAAGGATGCCTTCCATGCGGCATCCCTCCTCAAGCCCAGATCGCCTGCCTTGCAGCAGCAGTGACAGCCACCCTGAGCTGCTCTCAGTATGTATGGGAGCTGGGCTCTCTGATTTCCCCCCACCCCTGGCAGGAGGAACCGTGCTGGGAGCGATGTGGGGCAGAAGGCGAGTGGGAAGCTGTGGCTGAATGGAGGCTCCTTTAGCCCACAGGATGCCTGCCAGAGTGGGCAGCCTGTGGACACTGAGGTGCCGTGACAGGAGATCCTGCATGGCCTCCATAGGTGGTCCGGTGGAGAACATGAGGGTGGACATAGTGGGGAGGCTGCTTCTGTGCACCCCATTTGCCTGCAAGGGGCACCCAGAGGACACTGAGTGTTCCTCTGCTTGCACATCCCCAGAGGGGAGAGTAGGTCTGGCTTGGCCAGAGAGACCTTCTGAATCTCTTCCAGGCTACATTAGTATGGACAACAGCAGCTGGTGCCTCCTTGAGAAAGACTTGTCTAACTGGGCCAACTGCTCTCCAGGCAGGTTTTTAGCTGGGACTTTCCTCTCTCTCTCTCTCTCTCTCCCATTCCAGCCATCATGTGTGGCTTTGCTGGGGGACACAAGGCAACAGTTGCTCGGATGCCGGCAGCAGCTGCTGTTCCAGATTTCCCACTCTCAGAGGTATTGAGGGATGGAGAGATGAAGATGTAGGCAGCTGCCTGTGCTGTTGTGATCTCCTTGAGGACAGAGCCAGGGCACACACACCAGCATCTCTGGAATACTGCAGCCAGGTGTACCATGGAGATCAGAGTTCGGGAGAGCCAGAGAAATGAGATTTACCTAGACCCCACGCTCATAGTGCCTTTTTCCACTTCTTTTGGAGAGTAGGGTGTTCCTCATAGTGACAATGCTTCTTCACCCCTGGGTTCCCACAGAAACATGTTGGATGTCTGCAAAAAAGTCTTTCCCTTTCAAGAGGAAAGTAGGAACCTTGGAATATTTTCACAAGTAGAAAATCTGGGAAAAGATGTGGGTTCGCATTTTAAGTCAATCAGATATGACGTTTATTAGCTGTTTTGATATCTGTAAGCAAGTCATTTCCAGCAAAAACGTTTCTGTTTTTTTGAAAATGTCAGAAAGTTTCAATGGTTTCAGAATCTTTTTCATAAGGTGAAATATTTATCATAGTGGAAATTTCTGGCTCTGACACACTAGCGAGGGAAATCCCATGCTGCTGACAATTCCTGCCTTGCCTAAAGGTCATGTTACGGTCCCCTGACCCAGAGCGACAACTCTTTTACCTGAGACTTAGCTAATTGCTTTTTGTCCTGTAATCACCTTGAAAGTGGTTTTAATTAAGAGACTTTACTGGTGGAGCGGGGTAGGAATGTATGCATGCTGAGTTGCTGCAGCTCAGCTGTTGGAGGGTAATTCACCAAGTCTCTGTGGCACGTGTGTTTGAGATCATGAAACCATCCTGATGCCTCTGCTCAAGCCAGGTGGTCTCTGAGGGTCTTTCATTGCCTTCTTTTCATGTGCAGAATGTTTTTCTTGCCACATTCTCCTGATTGGAGGCACGTCTCCCAGATGCTGGGTGGGTGTGGGGAGAAGCAGAGACTCTCGTTTCCTCCTCGGAGCCTTTGGGAGCAGTGATGGCTCCTGGAGCTATTGTCTGCCTGCCTCGTTCCCTTTGTCCCTGCCCAGGTGCTGCGTTTAACCAGCCTGTGGGCAGCTGGTGGAAACACTGTTTATGGCTCGCGACTCCTTTTTGATTTCATGAAAGCTCATTTTCTGCCTGAGGAAAGCTTTTCTCCACCAGCCCTCATCCCCGCCTGGCCCCAAAAGAGGGGGAGATGTGCCATATAATGGCAGTGAGGGGGATTAGAGAGGCCGGGGGGTGGAGGAAGAGGAGGAGGCGGGAAGCAGCAGGGGTCTGCGCACACTTAACACACAAACACATGTTCTCCTTTTAACCAAAGCACCACTCAAGCACGGGTGCTTTCATTTTTCTACCACTGACACCAAAGCCAGGGCTTCCTCAACCCCTCACTTGGTGTCCCAGGTCCCCTTCTCCTGTTCCTGAGATGGCAGGGTCAGGGTGGGGGGAAAATGAAGTCACACAAGTGTTGATGACAGTGCCATGCAGGAAGGGGAAGCACGGCCACCCCTCTGCTGAACTGCTGCCTTGGAGGGGGAATGGCAGCAGGGGATGGAGTGGGGTGACCATGGCAAGCGTGACCAGCTGCGGGGAGAAAAGGGTGGGTGGCCAGGAGCAGCACCAGTTCCAGCCCTGAGAGTAACCTCCTTTCCTTATTTCCCCAGACCTATGTCTTCACTGATGAAGAAGATGATGCCCTGAAAAGGAGAATGGGTAATGACCTGTCCTATAACACCACCTCCCAACCTGCTTTCAGCCTCTGAACTGTCACAGCCTTGGGAAGGGGGTCCAGCATGAAGGCTGGGTCTCCTATGCCAATGCTGCCTCTTGAAGCACATCCCTCACCATGTCCCATTGGAGGACCCCAAGCTGCAGTGATGATGATTTAGTGTAGCTGGCTTACCCTAGGACATGCAGCCAGCTGGAGGCAGGATGCCCTCTGCCTTAAAGCATCCTTGGGTGGAAGAAGCCCATCAGAGAACCCTTCAGCCCCAGCACCCTGGCTGGCAGTGGGCAGGGTGGAAGTGCAGTTGTCAAGTGTCCTAGTCTTGGCCAAGATGCTTGGCTTTCTCTAGGTTTTATCTCCTGGTAGGGGGAAGGATGGAGCCTACATCACTGCAGACTTGGATGCCTATCTGAGGGGCTGTGAGGAGGCTGTCTGTGAACACACCTCTTCCCTCCTGCCCAGAGGTCCTCCCCACGATCATGTGAAGCAGACCAGCTCCAAGCTACAGCCTTCTCTCTCCCGGCAGGTGACCATGCAGTCTTCACCAACTGCTCTGCTGAGCACAGTCACCCAGCCCTCTCCTGCAAGATGGCCGCTGAGTTTGACGCCTTCCTGGCCAGCAGCAGGAGGTGAGGAAGGGCTGCTGTGGGGGGACTTCTGAGAGGAAGAGGCACCTTCCTTTCCACAAACTTCTTGTGTCTTCATTCCCATCTCCCTCCAGCTGGTTTTGCCATTTGGATGACGACAACTACCTGAACCCTCGGGCCCTCCTGAAGCTCTTGTCCTCCTACTCTGCAACGTGGGATGTTTACCTGGGGAAACCCAGCCTGAACCGACCCATCCGAGCCTCCGAAACGCTGCCAAACAACCAGACGGTACAGCCCATGGTGGTGGTGTGTGGGCCAATGGGTTGTTTTTAGTGCTCTGGTTCATTGGCTGTAGATGTACCCAATGAGAGACAGGTCTGAAGAGCAACAGGCAGCAGCTGAAAACTCTCTGGCCTTGTCTGAACATTGTTTTAGGTGTTGACTCAATCCATTCTACCTAGGGAGAGTCCCATGTTGCTGCTGTGCCTTTGGGTACTTGTCTGCCAGGAGATAAGCCTGGCATGGGCAGCCCACCTGCTGCTGCCAGCAGGAACTTGGCAGCTCCAAATATGAGGAGGTCAAAATCCATGCTGTACTGCTGGCAAGTCCTTCTTCTGGGCAGCAGTCAGGGGTCTGGAGTGACAGTAGGTCTGTGTTTGTTCTGGCATCAAAGTTGGGTTTCCAGCATTCCCATCTCGGGGAGTATGGCATTGTCTGAGCCTCTGCCATTGATTTGCTCTTTCTCTCCAGAAATCTGTGCGCTTCTGGTTTGCCACGGGAGGAGCTGGGTTCTGCATCAGCCGCAAGCTGGCAAGCAAGATGGTGCCATGGGCCAGGTGAGCTGAGCAACTGGTGAGTATGGGAGCCTTTGGAGATGAGGAACACGGCTGCATATTAGTTCCTGGCAGTATCAGGTCTGAGTTTGTGTATGTGGTGTTTGCAAGGGTGCAGAGTGCCACATGCTACACATGTGCAAGCACATGGGACTGGAGGAAGGATGGTCTGCCACCTGATTGAAAAGGGAAGAGGAGGCACGTCAGCAAACGTGGTCATAGAATGACATACTCCCCTGTCCCCAGTTGCTTTCAGTTCTTGGTTATTCCCCCACACTCCTTCCCATCCCTTTCAGCTTTCTCTGACTCTTCCTAAGTGCTTTCCCTGTCTGCCTGTCTCCTCTCCCCTTAATCTCCCTCTTTCTAACCTCCCTCCTGAGCTAATTTCCCATTCCCCCACCCAAACCCTCTTCAGCTTCTTACAGTTGCCACTGTCATTTCCTCAGCTTGGTGCATGGGGAATAGATGTAGGTCCCAGGTCTGCAACAAGATGATATTTTCCGTGATGCCCTAGGTTATATCACAGGCTATATGCACATACATTGATAAGGAATGGCCGTTCCAGCCTTAACCAGACCTGTGCATACCCAGAAAGACAGATCTCATCCACACCAAGTGGCTGGTTTAGCTGAAGCCCATGATATGCATTTTACGGTAGACCTAGACGGGAGGATGGTCTGTGATCTAGAGTGAAATGAAAGTGGCATGTGTAGATAACGCCTAACATGTTATAAAGTCTGCCACTACTGTGTTAAAATGCTTAAACCATGTTTGAACTAGCTGAGAGTCATTATAGTAGACAGTGCTTCATGCTGTGTGGCTGCTTCTAGTTACAAGAGCCTTAAAATTGGGTTTAGCCTGTCATCAAAGGATAGCTAAACATCTGCTGTTACATTACAGCGGAGCCATGGATGACTTATTCAAACTGTAAGACTGTTCTTTTTCTTCTTCCTCCTGGATCTGGCCATGTGGTCCCACCGTATCTTTTGTGCTGGCTTGTCTGACCCCTCAGGGGCTGAGTGTAGCTCAGCAAACAGGTAGAAAAATGACTCTGCAAAGTCTGCAGCTCTCTGCATCAGCTCACTGAGGAGCTGGATATACATTAGGGACAGCACTAGAGAATTGGTGGGACAGTATAGCTGGGAGTGGTCAAAGAGCAAACACATTCCCAAATCTTTGCAGTTGGAACTCAGGGACTTCTTGCCTCGTTCCGAGATTTACTCTGGCTTTCAGTTAAGTTGAGTCCTTCATTTGTCTCTCGCCCAAGTGGATGCCTATATCCTCTCCTCCCCTTGTCCTAACCCACACAACCCTACTCTTTTCCAGTGGCAGGAACTTCCTGAGCACTTCAGAGCTCATCCGCCTGCCGGACGACTGCACCGTGGGTTACATCATTGAGTGCAAAGTCGGGGGGCAGCTGTTGCCCAATGAGCTCTTCCATTCCCACCTGGAGAACCTGCAGCTTATCCCCCCCTCTCGGCTCACACAGCAGGTGAGGAGGGGAACTGGAGCAAGAGGGAGGTGCATGAGGAAGGAGAGGTGAAGGAGGGGAGCTGATAGGGAGCACATTGCCCCGTTGGTCGCACTGATGTGGATTGAATGAATTCCCTGCTCTTTTGAGGAGGTTTTCCTGACAAATGCTTCTTTGAAATAGGGAGCAGATGTTGCTGGCATCACAGATGCCAGTCACAGTGCCCCTGGGGTCAGTGGTGGGGAGGAAGCATATGTATGGGGAGTGATGGGAGGATTGAGGGCATCCCTGGGGAAATGTGGCACAAGGACAAGCAGAAATGATGACTGATTGGGGAAGGGGCTGTGAGATGGCATTGTCTGCCTTGCATGGGGAGATAACAATGGGTGTAGGGGGCTTGGAGAGGCAAAGGACTTGCATGGTGGACCACCATGGGAAGGAAGAGAGGAGAGGTAGAAGGCAGAGGCCAAGCCAGCAGAGAAGGAACTGGAATGGCAGCTTCTGTCACCCAAAGGAAGTTTCTTGCTCCTGAACTCACCTCATCCTCCCTGCACCTTTCTCACTACCCCTCTATGTAGGTCACCCTCAGCTATGGTGTCTTTGAGAACAAGCTCAACGTTATTGAACTCCGTGGCCCCTTCTCACCCCAAGAGGATCCCTCAAGGTACGGGGCACGAGTGCTCTGGGTGTTGCTGGGGTGTGAGGTCTCAGACAACAGGCTGGGAGGGGGAGGCAGCCAAATGGGGTCTAGAGTGAGGGACAGAAACCTTGCATGGCTTATTGAGTGAGGAGCATACCAGCGTTACGCTGCTTGTGAACACTTACAAACTTTGCAAACCTTTTTGTGTGAGTGAGAAAAAAAGGAGTATCAAAACATTTTGTTTGGACAATTCCTGAGCCAAAAGTATTGTCATTTATTTCACATTTTGAGACTGAGCAAGCTAACCTTTTACTTCTGGGACAGGAACAGAAATGTTCTTTTAAACTGAGGAAAGGAAATTCTGCTTGCTTTTCATTTTTTTGTTTTGCTGAGAAAACTGAAGGGAAAAGAGGAAAAGGTTCACTTCAGGCTCACTGCAAATAAAAGTGTTACCTTCTCTGCTTTGAGTGAACAAACCTAAAGTTGTTATTTGCAGAGCATGGGTGGAAAGCTCCTGGCTGGAGATAGGAGGGGTGGGAAGCAGCTAGGTGATGAAAAGAGCATCAACAGAACCACGTAGCTGGGGCTGGTGCAGGGCCCATATCCCTGCCCGTGATCAGGATGAGCCATGGGCTTGTGCTACATGGGTAGAGCTGAATTTAGGTGTCGGAGGGGAGCTTGGCTGCTTAGCTTTGCTGAGAAAAGGCATCTTGAAGTGAACAAGTCCTGGAGCTCTGTAAGGTGGGGTGGGTGCCCAACGTAGGATGGGACATGAGGGAGAGGTCTTCCATTCTCCAGCTGTGTTCAGGTGTAAAAAACTGTCACCTGACCTTCCTTTGCTCTCTCCCCAGCAGGTTTCGATCACTCCACTGCCATCTCTATCCCGACACCTCCTGGTGCTTGCAGGCTGTTGGCTGGTGATGCCTGAGCCTCATCTACAGTGGTTCCTGGTGACATCCATTCACCTTGTGCATGTAGGGGGTGGGACACTAAAGAAGCTTGGTGCTCCCAACTTTCCCTTTTCTATGGTGGTCTTGAGGATGTGTGATGGCTTTTTTTGTCCTTACTGAACACCAGTGACACAGGGCAAGAGACGAGATCTGTGCGAAAGATGGATAACACGGGCTGCACACATGGATGCTCTTCCCATCTGTGGTGGGATACATGCAAGGGATAGGAGCAGTATGCCTTCCTGAGCAGATCAAGGAATGGGTGGTGACTGCTGGGCATGTGAGTAGAGGTGGGGACCTGCTGCTGCTCCTTGCTGTGGATTCATCTTGCTGGACTAGAAATGCACTGGGTATGGCTAACCAGTGCCCAGTTGGGTAGATGGCTGATAGTGTGCCTTGGCTCCAGCCTCTCTGAGCAGGTCCTCTTCCTCCATATCTGCCTGTGCTTTCCCCACCGCCCACTCTTCCCAACCTTGACTGAGTCTCTGCTTAGTTAAGGTCTAGAGAAATGGAAAATGTGACCATTTCTGTGCTGAATGAGTGCTGGGAAAGCATAGTTCTTGCCTGGCAGAGGGGAGGTGGGCAGGAAGTACAAAGAATCAGGAATCCCCCTGCCTGCTGGGATAAAGAAGAGAGCGTGGGGTGGGGAGCCAGGAGGAGACAGATTGAGATGAGGCCAGTTTCTGCACTGAACATGGAAGGCTTGAACTTGCATGTCCCTGCATTATTTCTCTCTTTTTACCTACATGATATGGGGTCAGGATAATCTCTTGCTCTAATTACCAACCTGTCGTCTGAGATTAGACTCCAACTCTTACCTGTGAGAGAAGAGACATAAAGGATTAAGACTGGCTGAAAAAGAGGAGAAAGGAAGAGATGGAGAAGGAGCACTCAGGAGCGGATTAGAGGTTACAGCTTTATAATCTTCTCTGTGCCCCGACCAAAAAAAATTAAGTCATGAAGGAATGGAAACAGCAAGGCAAAGAGCTTTTTATCTCTGTGTTTCTTTCCTCCAGATGCTAAGAACAGCTTTCTGCCTTCCCACTGTCCCTGCTGAGCCCAACAGGGGGAAGGAGCAGGCCCAAATAGGTTACAAGATTTCTGGCATGTTTGTGGAGGCTTCTTTTCTCAGTACAGAGCCTGGCATGAAAGCTGGGCAATTCTGCTTGCTGGGGAATGAACTTTGGCACCATTTTGTCCTTGTACACACGGTTAAATGGCTGGGGGAAAGCGATGCAGGGAAAGCTGGAAGGCAAAGAGGCTGTTTTAAATGGCAGGTGGTGCCACAAACAGGTATTTCTCTTTAAAGAGCCTTTCAAAACACGCTGCTGGGATCTGTGAAAGATTCCTGTAATCTCCAGATGAAAGGACAAATGCCCTTTCTCCAAAGAGCTGCTTAGCTTTGATGCTGCTGATGTGACTAAGCCTGCTGCTGGTGGGCTGGAAGAGCCAAGGGCGACTATCACTGTGCCTCGACCGTTTTGAAAACTGGCCAATGTCGCCTCCTCCCCCCTGACCCCCAAGCACCAGCATCTCTTACATGGCACACATGAGGTTTAAAGGAAAGGCGTCAGAACAACCTTCCACCTCTGCAAAGGAGGATGTGGAAACAAACGAGCACTTTAATTTCTGGAGAAGCAGAAAGAGGAGCCTGTAGAGCTGTTTTCCAGCCTGATCACTCTTACCAGCCTTTAACCAGCTTGTGAAGCAGCAGAAAGCCCTGCTTTCTTCTCTTGCACAACATGCCTTTGAACTGGAAATTCATCCAGAGGAGGGACAGGGGTTAACTGATGCCAATGACCATTCCTTGGGTCATGCAAAGCACTTGGCTCACACAACTACAAGGACCTAGGAACAATGCGGCTCAAAACAGAGACACCCAACTATTTGAAGACAGGTGCAGCATAAAGAAGTCCTGCCCCACAGGGCAAATGATTTGGTTTGAACTTAACCAGAAGACAAAAAATGCTTCTGTGTGAAGAAGTGGGAGTCTTCACGAGAAATCTACACTACCCGGATATCTTATTTTCCCATTCAAACTGTCAGCTGCATTGTTAATTGAGTCTCTGTGCTAAAAAGCCAGTCAGTCCTATCTGTAGATATCCTGGTGACAACCAAAGCATAATGTGATTCGTGTGCCTGGAGAAGAAACTGATAGTTTCCCTCCTTTCCCTGGGGAACAGGAAGGCAGAGAACCTGGAAGCCTGCTTTGGATCCTGGTCCGTTTTGGCCTGGTGCCTTTTGCATGGCTGAAGATCAGATGTTAAATGGGTTGAGTCCTTGAGTGGCTGCATGGGGACTGGTTTAAGACTCGGCTTCATTGCTGGAGCAGTTAAGTGCCACTTATGTGGAAAATGTCTTGTCTCATAAGGAAACCGAGAACAGACGAGAAGATGTCTGGGGCAGGGCTTCTCTTGGGCTGTGGAGAGACGAATGACAGAGAAGTCCTGTTATGCCTGTGACGACAATGCGCTGGAAAGAAAATAGCTTCTCGGAGTCGACAAAAGAAACCAGGTTTTCTCTAAGAACAGAGAGACAGCTTAAGGGGACATTCACCACATGAAATCTGATCAATGTTAAAACCTGAGTTAAAATTAGTTTCAGGAATGGTTCCTGCCCCTGAGGCTTGCTGTCAGATGTTGTGGTTTTACAGTCTCATTTTCCTAGTTTATTAAAGTGTTTAGCTGCTTGGGAAAATGAGAAACAATCTCACGTGAAACTTTTCAGGGGACTGTCTGTTTTTATTCTCCTTCATGATTTTCTGATGTAACCGTTAAAGTTTTTGGAAAGGTTCCACTGGGTCTATTAATTTTTTTTTTTCTTTCTCTTTTTCTTTTTTTATATCCCTCTCTCCTCCTCTCTCTCACACTCCCTTTTCTTATTGCAGGAAAAAAAAACCCCAAAGCTATCCCAAGAACGAAAAGGGATGGAGATGTGGTCTTTTTATTTTACTGGGAAAAATGGGGTCAAAGTCAAAGGTGTTGGCATGACCCTGCTGTTGTACAACATTAAGCGTAGTTCAAGGTTTCAAGTGCAGAGACCTTCGCCTGCCCAACACCATAGCAACCAACACTATTAATGATGTTTAAGCTGTATACTGAAGATTCAGAAAAAGGAGAAGGAGGGGGAAAAAAGCAGTTACAGTATTTGAAATGTAAAATATTAAGTGAGGCTTTCATGCTAACAATATCCTTTCTTTGCTTTCCCTGTAGCTGTGAAGAATTTTTATAAGGAAACCCCTATTTGACAGTACAAAAAATGCTAATGACTATCCTTTCTTTAGGGGGAAAAGAGAAGTTAGTTGAAATAGGTGGGAAACTGCAGTTGTTGCTAAAGGCTTAAAGGGGTGAGAGAAGAATAGCAACGCTGTACAATGCTTCTGTCCCTGGTGCCAACTCCTCTTAACAACTCTGCTGCCGAAGAAAAACAGATTTCTAAGCCACCATGGGATTTACCCAACTCGTAACCAGATCGCAGCCTTCAGCTTCCTCCCCAGGCCTCTTGCTACAGATGCAGCCTTCGAAAGATGAGCAGTTTATTAAACAGAAGCCAAAAGGTGAGAAATAGGAACAAGAAGAAAGGAGACTGGAGGGAAAGAAACCACCAAGTGGGACCTTGGAGGAGAGCATGGGAGCAACAATTTCAGCTGTTCATTGAAAGGGCTGTTTGGGAGCTTCCCAGCAACAGTGGGAAAGGGGATGTTGCCTGGACCCCCAGCTCTGGATGTTTTTGTGATCAGGACAATTGTTGCCCACCAGTGCCAGAGGTGATGCCAGCCTGTGAGTCAGAATTCACCTTGGAAGAAGTGAGATCAGGTTGGTTGGCCCCAAACCTCTTTTTTCTCTCTTTACTTTCTTTTTTTTTTTTTTTTTTTTTTTTTTTTTTTTTTAATAACACTCCAGATAAATTGATGTGTTTTAACCTGACAGGTATACTCAATTCCTTATGGCACACTTGGCCTTGTAATTTCAAGGCTTCCTCTGCCTTTGTTTCCAATACAGGCTTTTCAGATAGTCCAGGGATGGGATCAGCAGCTCTTTTCCTACATTTATTTAATTCCTTTTGTCTTCAAGCCCTGAAAAACCCTACAAGACAGCTGGCTTGCCCTTTTGCACCACTGGCCACCAGGGCTTTACATACCTGACCACACTTCTGAGGTGGATGCAAAGGTGAAGGAGGGCGACTGACTCTTCCATTTGGTAATTGCATGGGCACATAAAGGCATGGACTATCCTTATGCTCTTCCTAGAGGCACCTGATAACCTCTAGTGCCAGAGATGGGATCTCATATGAACTGGGACTTTTTTCTGTCCCAAATACCACTGGACTTATGGCTCCACTGAAGAGGACACATTACCAGAGACTTAAGCAATGCCAAGAAGAAGAGCAGCACCACAAATGTACAAATAACTGTGTCTGTTCTCACCAGCTGATGCAGGAATTTTTCCTCTAGACTTTCTGCCCAATTACCTGAGAGGTTAAAGGAGTGCAGGGCTGAGCTGTTGTTGCTCAGCTGGCATTGCCTCTTTAGGGTTGTTCCTTGACAGCCTGAAATTTTTGTTGCTCCCTGTTTGATCCAGCTCGGACTTCAAGAAAGCTGGGAACTCATCTCTCTCCCTGTTTGAACTGTATGTGATTAATTACAGACACCAAGAATGGGCTCCTGGCCTATCTCTCATGTTTAAATTGCCTTCCAGGATTTTGCAAGGCTAAGGAGACTCTTCAGATGTTACATCTGACTGTTCCTCGGTCAAGTCTCCCTTGGTTTTGCTGGGAGCTGCATCTGATTCATAGTGAACTTTGAGAACAAATTAAAGTGAGTGCTTTGTACATGGATTTGCTAGCCCTGACCCTTCTGCTGCTGCTTGAGAACAAGACAGTGTTGATGTTAACAACATAAGAAAAAGTGCAACTAAACAGGACAATTGGATGGGGAGAGATTCAGCTATTCTGAACCCCTGCTTTCCCCATCCCACCCCTAGAAGTGGGGCACAGAGCGAATCTGCATCTGGTGCCTTTGGCCATGGTGTATCAGGTGGAGGATATACCATGAAATATCCAGCATTTACACTGGCAGAGAATCCAGCAACCCCTGTTGTGAGCCAAGGCCAGTTTGTGCTTGACGCTGGAGAGGGAGAAAAATGGTACTTACCCTGAAGCACTTACAAGGAGAGACAAGGCAAGAAGGAGGGGAAGGCTTAAAGGATTAATGGGACAGTACTGTCACATATAAGAAAGGGAACAAGATGGTCCTTGGGACAGTGAGGAGAAGAGTTCAGCAGCAAAGATCCCTCTCCACCCAGAAATACCATGAAGCAACACATCTGAAGAGTGGCTGAAACAAGCACATGGGAAGGAAGAGATGAGGGATGAAGAAAGTACTTTGGATAAGAGAAAGAAACAGAACAAAATCTATATCCTCTTCATGGCTGCGTTAGCAACTGATGAATGCTGTTCTGAGGACTGGTAACTTGGCACTTAGGGATTCAACAAAATGAGGGGGAAGATGGAAAAAAAAAAAAAGGCAAGGACCGTCTTCCCAACCCACACACTCAGTGCTTGCCTGTGGCTTCTCACTCATGGCCACCCCAGTAGGATGGGAGGAGATGCAGGACTTGGAAACAGCACCGACCTCTACTCTGTGCTGTGTGTCTTCTGCCTGTGGTCTACGAGACCACAGGTAACTAGGCAGCAGACTGGGGCAATGAGCATGATGGATGTGTTGAAAAGACTGCCCCTTCCTCACTGCCCCACATTACCATCATCTTTGGCTGCAGTGAGACTGACTGCAGAAGCTGGCCAAGCTTGTGAGGGTGTTTCTTCTAATGTGCAGGGGAGAATGCTCCTCTCCAGGGTCTCAGACAGTCCTCTTTCCCAAAGGCATGATGTGGGATGCAGACAGACAAGGTCTCTGTGCAGCTGGTAGGGAAAGCAGGGCCCCTCCATACCCCCCTCCTTTTCCCCAGCATTCAGCTAGTGTTGGACGGTGGCTGTTTTTAGAAAAAGTCACAGAATCAACAGCTGAGCTGATTTTCCAAAGGGACATATAAAACAAACAGCCTGCCATCTGCTCTATTGTCCTGGAATAGCGGATTGGAGGGTGGGGGAGAGGGAAGGAGGAGAATGAGGGGAATGAGAAACGGAGGTGGGGGTTGGGGGGAGAGGGTGGGAAAGAGGGGGGAGCAGAATAGAGGAAAAGGCAAAAAGGGGAGGCAGGGAGGTCATTGGGGGGAAAGGAAGGTGAAGGCGGAGGCTGAGGGGAAAGAGACAGAGAAGGAGGTAAAGAAAAAGGGGAGCTGTGTAAAAGAGGGGATGTGGTGAGGAGAGAAGACCAGGAGACAGGCATGGGGACAATCAGTGCTTGCTTGGAGTCACCTTAGCTGGATCTCCATCAGCACTGCGAGTCACAGGGGCAGGCACTTCCAGCACCCCTGTGCTTGCTGAACCAGAGCCTGAATGCAAAAGAAACAAACTGGACTTAGTGGCCTGGATAATCGCTCCCCTTCCACCCACACAGCCCTGCCTGCTCGCCTGCCATACTGCCTCTCCCCCCCTCTCCCTGCGTTGGCTTTTATTGAGTGCCGCAGGGCAGGGATTGAACTCCAGGTTTGGCAGCAGAATAAATAACAGCAACATTGGCCTCTCCAGCCCGGGAGGGAGGAGGGCTGGTTTTAATCAAAGGTAAATAACAGTCGGTATTCTCTGACCCTTAATCCAATTTCCTAGAACTGGAGAATAATGTTCCAACTTGGACACGTGGCGCTGGCCCACAGGAGAGGGGTGGCTACTCAGCCAGCCAGCTGCTGGGCACAGCACAGCCAAGGAAAGCAGAACTGGGGGAGATGCCACAATGCAGGTAGTTCCTCCTGGATGGTCTGGGACTGGGCTGTTTTCTTCTGACTTTTCCTTGTGAATTTTCCTTCCTTCAGTCATCTTGAAAGATGGGGCGGGTGTTCTGACAGGCAGCACATCCCCATGAAACGTGGGCCCAGTTGATTAAAGACTTCCTGATTTGTTCTGTTGACAGGAGAGTTGGGGCCCATCTGCTGCCCTGCTTCTGCATTCCTGAAGGGCATTTTGCCTTCCATGGTGACCCAGAGAATAGTGATTATGAAGGCTGAAAGAGGGTAGATTTAGATTAGATATAAAGAAGAAATTGAGGCACTGGAACAGGTTGCCCAGAGAAGCTGTGGCTGCCCCATCCCTGGAAGTGTTCAAGGCCAGGTTGGATGGGGCTTTGAGAAACCTGGTCTAGTGGAAGGTGTCCCTGCCCATGGCAGGGAAGTTGGAACTAGGTGATTTTTAAGGTCCTTCCAACCCAAACCATTCCATGGTTATATGATTCCATGAAGTTGTGCTTGTTGTTATATGGTCATGGCAGAAATCACTATGGGTTCCTGCTACATGTCAAGTGTGAGCAAGATTTCAGTGTTGGAAAGAAATGTTTGTGTTGTTACCAGTCTAGTAGCACAAGAGTCTTTGTGATTGGAGAGTTTGCCCTCTGATTTGGTGACATATTAGAATCACAGAGGGTTAAGGATGTGGTGTTATTGAGCTATCGGGAGATTACACCCCTTCTGTCAGATGTTTTTCCAACTGACTCTTAAAACATGTTGTTCAGGTCCAGAATATTGGAAAACCAAATTGCTGGTAACAAAGCACTGGTACCAGGTTGATTTCTGAAAGACGGATTTGTTCTGTAACTCTGTGCTAACACCGATTTGTAGCTGCTCATGGAGCAGCTGTGTCAGGCTCTTGGGCACTG